TTACTGTTATAGATTATATTATTATCATTTTCATATTGATTTTTATTGTTTCATATGGATATTGTATGGTTTAGGCCTGTGTTTGTAAGTGAACCAATGTCATGTCAAGTTTCCATTTTGTATGTCAAGTCTCCATCTTGTGTCCACTGCCCGGGCATCCCCTGTGTCGCAACTGTAAGAATCATGTAACCCTCCCATGTAAATTGGTTCCCGGATGAATGAGTGTGATTGGGAATGACTGAAATACAATGGTAGCAGGCCTCTGCTGAATGGCCTGTAATGACTGGGCCATCACCTCGCATTGATTCATCCAGGAAGCATGGGGCTCCCCCAGGAACAGAGACAAGAACCCAGCATTTGAAAGACAAAAGACCCTGCAGAACCAGCAACTCGACCATTGTACCCCACCATTACATTCATCTGAAACTGCACATCCCTGCCTGAAGCACACATGCTCAGTATGCCAGGGCCTGACCCTTGCCTGGGCATGCCTCCTGTCACTAGGGTCACACAAGGTCTGCCCTTATAAAAAGGGACAGTGAAGAAAAACTCAGTGGGACGCCCTCTCCATCTGGACCAGCACCATGCCACACCACCTATTCACCCAGAGGCCCTGCTGGCAACCCCCCTCTGGATAACACCTACTGAACAAGGACCCCTTTCCAGCCTGGATAGGAAGCTATCATCCCCTACCCCCTCTTCAACCAAGGACTTGGACTCTGCTTCTCTTCCATACCTTGACTCCAGCCCTTCCACTGAGTTTCTTTCTCCTGCTGCCATCCAAAATTTAAGGTCAGAGGCTGATGGATGAAGGGGGATCCTGCAAACCCCCATAGCCACTGGCAGCCCAGACTGTCCCACTGCCCAGGCAGAAAATCCCTTACTCTTATGGGCCCAATGAGGAAGTGTTATGTTCTCAAGATATCTGGACTGAATTCGGGAACTGTTTAATAGAAAATGGATATATGGTAACAGGAGCACTGCACTGTGACCTAAGTACTGGGATACTCCTAGAAGAGTGACCTAAGTACTGGAATACAGAGTCATGCTCACCCAGACTTCCTCTCTGTGGCCTAATGAAGCTTTCATTCCTTTCTGTACAGTGACACTTTTAAGAAGTGGGGTGGAGATTATAACATACAATGTCCCAATTCCATACTCTTGAAAGCAAATAGAGCAGAAATAGAGACTTCCCACTTTTAAGGACTGTTAGGTCAGTGTTAAAGTTATCAGGTGCTAAGATTAATGTGTAGCTACACCCACATTCCTATCACTTTCCCATGCTATCTCTTATAACCATATCATCACTATCATCTTCCAGAACTCATCCACTAAGGGGGACAGAAAGTCTCTCTCGTGTGCAGACCACATGGCCAGGAGAACTCTGTTCTAGAGCATAACTGGCATCATTTCTCTGATTTCCAAATCCAGACTCTCAACCAAAAAATATGGTTTCTGGCTCTTATGCAGCGGCCATACTCCTGCTGAGCTGCAAGTACAGCTAATTAGCCCAATTATAAGTTGCATGGTGTTACTTAAGCTTCCATCTGTAATTTCACATCAAGGAGCCAAATATAATCAATATGGGAACAAGAAGAATTGGTATATTAGGAATCTTTTCAAGCAGAGAGGTGAATGACCTCACTGAGGTGACAAAGGCCACATTGAGACCCTGTCCCCAAAGTGGTCCACACGAAAGCTAAAGGCTAGAAATCAGGCCAGTTAGCCTCTTTGGTTACAGTTGGTCACCAAAAATAACATCTACTTGCGTGCAGTGCTTTTCAAACCTTCTGAGTACTTTGAACAAATGTGACCACCTGTTTAGATACTTTAGTGAAGGCTGAGTTCTTTCCCTTACCAAAATCACACCACAAATGGCTTATTCAAGGACACGCACAGTCTGCAACAAAGCTGAATTTGAAGCCAAATTTCTGGAGCCTCAGCCCCAGGTTAGCCATAAGACATACTTATTATCAAATATGGTTTGAACTTTATCCATCTTGTCCACAGTTTCCTAGCACCTGTGAGTAACTATATCTCCTTATCAGGTGACCTGCACAGCAGCAGTGCAGTATGGTCTAATGATGAGCATTATTCTATAGGAGGGAGGAGATCTGCATAACCAGGTGACTGGGGATCTCTTCCTAAGTGTTGTTTATGGACCTGTAACTTTAAGGAAGCCATACCTACTGCTTCTCTGTGCCTCAGTTAACTCTTGTAAAAGATGTCTTTGGGACCCTGTCCCACTTGGAGATCTGCTACACCTCTACCATCTTGCTCAGAATCCTGGCCAGCTTCTGTATGGAGATAATAGAAATGTTTCTAGGGGATGTACCATGCACGTTTCTGGTTTAGTTTCCTGATAGCTAAAGAGCATCATCTCCTGGCTGCAATGCTTTATGACAGGTATTAAGCAATATGCAAACTTCTACACTATACAGTCCTCATGTATGATAGGATCTGCCTTCAGCTAGTAGATGGGTCTCGGTTAAATGGATTTATGGGTAGCACTACCATGAGACTTTTGGAGACTACAATTAACTTTCTGTGGCCCCAGTGACACTGATAATTTATTTTGTGATTTCACCCCACTAATAAAGGTCTTCTGCAGTGACACCAGCCTAGTCACTCTGGTTACATCTGTGCTTATCTCTGTGGAAACTCTGCTCCATGGTACCCTATGTTTGCATTATCACCATCCTCTTGAAAACCCCTTCAACCACTGCACAGCAAATGGTTTTCCACCTGTTCTTCTCACCTTCTTGTCATAGCTATGTTTTATGGGATGCTAATTGTCATCTGTGTGACACTGAAAACTTCTGTACTCACAGATCTGAACTGGGTGTTCTCTGTATTCTACACTGTATTGACCCCCTGGCAAGGCCCCTGATATACAGCCTGAGAAACAAATATATAAAGGACTTCCTGAAAAATACTGTCAGTAATTGCATAACTTCCTCTCAGTTCTGAAGAGTTCAATAAAATGAGGAGGTATAAGTCTGTCTTAGAGAGTTACCCAAGCTTTAACTAGTGTCCCCTAAATCCATCCAAGTAGACCATTCTGAAGTGAACACATACAGATTTGTTGGTATTTATTGCTTCACCTAGTATATTAAAGGTAAAAATGGGGCTGTTGGGTATTCAACCAAGGCTGCTTGAAATCCAGTGAATGAGGATCACGGGCAGAGGGTGTGGTAGATAACTGTTTCTGTATGAGAACCAGACAGAATACAGTGCAGAAGGCCATCTGAAAAAGGCATTTGTTTCAACTCCCATTCATCATTTATAAACACGTAGGCCAGGTCCTGCATGGTGTACATCACTGTAGCTCGATCAAAGTCAATGATCTATGAAAATCAAGGATCTATTTACTGTAAATCAATAAGGTTGATTTAGATGTTGAACCTTAACTGTGTTAACGTTTCACCATTTCAACCCTGTGTCTATGTTTTACACATAGGATATAATGAGGAAGGTCAAAACAGTCTATAACTGTCATTTCTGGATTGGTTTGGATTAAACTTGCAGAAATGGTAGCATCTTCTGAGGCCATGAATTATGCCAAGTTTCCAGGAGATAGGTGCAGAGGGGTTGGAGAAGCTGCATCCCAAATTCTTGAAAGCAAAACTCATGTTGCATGCATGTGTTAAGCCTCAGTGGGGTAAAAACTGGAGGCATGCTAGCCCCTGCTGAGGCCACATAGCCTGCCAAGTTTCAAGGAGATAGATGCAGGGGTTTGGTTGAAACTGTACCTCAAGCTGCAGAGAAGCAAAACTCGTGACATGGGTGACACTGTGTGTGTTAAGGCGCAGCAGGGTGAAAGCTGCAGGCCTGCTAGCCCCTGCTGAGGCCACAAAGCCTGCCAGCTATCAAGGAGATGGGTACAGGGTGGTTCTCAGGCCTTGCACCCCTAGCTGCTGACAGGCACAACTAGTGACATCGGTGCTTGTGCAACTGACTGTGTCCATCTTGGGACAGAGGGGGATGAAAATTGCAGGCCTGATAGCCCCTGCTGTGGCCACGATGTTGGCTACAAAGGACCAAATCACAGGATCATCATAAAATTCTAGTTTATTAGACAGATGCAAAAGTCAGATCATAAACCTTGGGGCTGATACTCTCAAACACACACACATTCATACACACACACATGCAGGCTTTGTGGCCTAAGAAGGGGCTAGCATCCCTGCAGTTTTGACCCCACTGTAGCTTAATACATACACGTGACATGAGTTTTGCTTTCAAGATTTTGGGGTGCAGTTTCCCCAACTGACCTGCAGCTATCTCCTTGAAACATGGTAGGCTTCATGCCCGTAGAAGGGGATACCATTCCTGTGAGTTTTATCCAAATCAAGCCATAAATGACAAACCTATAGGCTGTTTCATCCTTCCCCCATTACAGTCTATGAGCAAAAACATTAAAACAGGTTTGAAACGGCAAAACATTTTGACTTGCCTCATTTTGTTTTGAGGCTGTTTCTACCATATCTGTTGTGTTTTGATTTTGCTGTTTTGACCTCAAAACAAGTCAAAACAGCATTGAAACAAAACTGGCAGTGAAATTTTGCATAGCCCTAATAGCCAGTATAGAAAAATGGATCTACTCTGGACCATGGAATATAAGGTGTATTGTGATAGTATGACACCACTTAGTATGACACCATTTGTCTTTGGGGTCATACTATGGGGACATAATATAAAATAAAATGAGAGAGGGGGATAGAAAAAAGACAAATTCTCTATCACATTTTTTTTCTCTTTCCTCTTTTACACCAGCCCAGCCCCCATGCAACCTTGCTGAAACAGGATGGGAACTGCTTTCACCTTCAGGACACTGAGGAAAAGTGACAGTAGCAGATGGGTTGGCAGGTGCCTCTGAGCACAGATAGAAAGGAGAGAATGACATTGTGACATTCTTCAGGGATTTAAGTTCACAGCTTCTGCTCCAGCCATGTGGTTAGAAATGAGGGGCAGCTGTGCCACACTCCCCCTCTGATCTGTCCCTGATATTCTCCCCTTTTTTCTTGACCCTAGGACTTTCAATAGTTCTATGTACTGTTTTATATGGCACCTACAAACATGTGCACAACTCCTATTTAGAGAGAGCAACACCACCTCCTTTCTGGTGCCTTTCATTCTTGAACAAATTACAGTTATCGATGACAGTATTCCAGCCTTATGAACTATCCATGTGTATACTCATCTAATATTTAATTCTTTCTGCATATTACCCTTGCATCTCATATCAGTATAAGCATCTTAGATGACTAACCAGTTGTCCTTATGTTGCCCTGTGGGGTCAGGACAACTCTCAGGATCTCAATATTGTGGTGCTAGACAGGAGGGTGTGACACAATTGCACATATACAAACACACAAATCAATTAGGTGCATACACACACACACTACTAGCTCTGGTACATACACATCCAAACCAGCCTAGGCACATGCATACCTATCACCAATTCAAGCACATACACTATACACCCCAAAAGTTAGACACATCAATAATTCGTATATCATGCACACAATGACACACACACACACACACACACACACTCACCAGTTCACATCCATACAACCCACCTACACATACACACAGGTAAATTCCTGACTTGGATGGTACAGTGTGTATGTATGTGCTTGGGGTACGTGGGAGAAGGTTCAGGTGAGAGAGAGAGAGAGAGAGAGAGAGAGAGAGAGTTAAAGTGTAGGGAGTGAAAGTTGCCAGAACCAGGATTACAACTAGTGGACTACAGAGAAGCTGGCTGAGGAACAGAGGCTTGGGTTTACTGAAGGTAGACTGGGGCTGAAAACTGAGAGAGACAGCTATACTCTGTACAGGAGAGATTGAGTAGATAAAAGGGGCGGTGGTGTAGCTCTCTATGTTAAGGAAAGCTACACATCCCTGCAAGCTGATGTTGGCGACCAGGGTGGACAACTGGAGACCCTCTGGATTTGAATCCATGGGGAACATGGCACAGGGGAAACAACGGTGGGAGTCTAATACAGACCTCTCACCCAAAGTCAAGAGCTTGACCAGGAGTTCACCCGGGAACTGGCTGAGGCTGCATGCTCCAGGACCATAATTGTCATGGGTGACTTCAACTACCCAAACATCTTGTGGGAGGATTATTCAGCAAAATCCGAGTGGTCGCAAAGCTTCCTATCATGCGTGGATGAACTCTACCTGACTCAAGAAGTCTACGGGCCAACAAGAGGTAAAGCGCTTCTTGACCTAGTACTGGCTACTGGGGATGACCTAATCAGCAACCTAGTGATCGATGAGAAGCTGGGTGACAGTGACCATGAGCTGATCACCTTCACCATCTCCAACAAATCTGGCAAGTCAGTTAGCAACACTGAAGTCCTTGACATCAGGAAAGCTGACTTTGACAAGCTCAGGAGGCTTGTCAGTGTGGCCCTAAGCGACCATGACCCCAGGAGGAAGGGAGTCCAGGAAGAGTGGTTGCTCCTCAAGGGAGTGATCCTCAATGCACAAGCTAATTCTATTCCATATCAAAGGAAAGGCAGCAAGAGGGCACAGCGGCCCCCTCTGGCTCTCCAGGGATCTAGCAGACCTCCTGAGGCTGAAAAGAAAGGCCTACAAAGGATGGAGGATGGGATTCACCTCCAAGGAGGAATATTCTGCACTGGTCCGGTCTTGCAGGGAGCAAACGAGGAAAGTCTAGGCTGCAACTGAACTCCAACTAGCTTCGAGTATCAAGGACAATAACAAGTCCTTTTTCAGATATGTGGGGAGCCAGAGGAAAAACAAGGGGAACATTGGACCCCTGCTAAACCAGATGAGACAACTGACAGCTGACGCTCAGGAAAAAGCCAATCTATTAAATGGGTACTTTGTGTCAGTCTTTCATCAGTCCCATGGGACGCCCATGCTCACTACGGGACAGGTAGGTCCAGGTGAGGGAGATCCCCTGCTCTCCATCAATGCTGACCTCGTGAAAGAACACCTTGAGAGGCTGGATACCTTCAAGTCAGCTGGCCCTGACAATCTACACCCCAGGGTACTCAAGCTGCTGGCGAGCATCATATCCCAACTTCTGGCATAGATCTTTGAGAACTCCTGGCACTCTGGTGTAGTGCCCAAAGACTGGAAGAAGGCCAATATGGTGCCTACCTTCAAGAAAAGGAGGAAAATGGATCCGGCAAACTATAGGTCCATCAGCCTGACCTCTATTCCAGAGAAGGTCTTAGAAAAGGTTATTAAAGAGGCCATCCTTAATGGACTGGCGAACACCAACTTCCTGAGGGATAGCTAGCATGGGTTTGTTGCGGGTAGGTCTTACTTGACCAATCTCATTTCCTTTTACAACCAGGTGACCTATCACCTGGACAAGGGAGAAGAGATTGATGTCATATATCTTGACTTCAAAAAAGTCTTTGATCTGGTATCCCATGATCACCTCTTGGTGAAACTGGCCAATTGTGGCCTTGGGTCTACCACGATCCACTGGCTGGGAAATTGGCTCCATGGTCGGACCCAGAGGGTGGTAATTGATGGAAGTCAATCATCATGGTACCCTGATACCAGTGGGGTCCCCCTAGACTCTGTCCTTGGACTCATATTGTTCAACATCTTCATTAATGATGTGGACATTGGAGTCAGAAGCGGACAGGCCAAGTTCACCGATGACACCAAACTTTGGGGCAAAGCATCCACACCTGAAGACAGGAGAGCAATCCAGGCTGACCAGGACAGGTTCAGCAAATGGGCGGATGAAAACCTGATGGTGTTTAACACTGAAAAAATACAAGGTTCTCTACCTTGGGAGGAAAAAACTGCAGCATCCTTATAGGCTCGGCAGTGCTACACTGGCTAGCACTACGGAAGAAAGAGACCACAAGATGAACATGAGTCTTCAATGCAATGCTGTGGCTAGTAAAGTGACCAAAATGCTGGCTTGCATCCATAGATGCTTCTCAAGCAAATCCCGGGACATCATTCTCCCCTTGTACTCGGCTTTGGTGAGGCCGCAGCTGAAGCACTGCATCCAGTTTTGGGCCCCTCAATTCAAAAAGGATGTGGAGAAGCTTGAGAAAGTCCAGAGAAGAGCCATGTGCATGATCAGAGGTCAGGGAAACAGACCTTACAATGACAGGCTGAGCGCTATGGGGCTCTTTAGCCTAGAAAAGTGCAGGCTCAGGGGTGATCTGATGGCCACCTATAAGCTTATCAGGGGTGACCACCAGTATCTGGGGGAATGTTTGTTCACGAGGTTGAAATGTTATATACTACTGCAAGACCATTTCAGGCTGGATATAAGGAAGAATTTCTTTATTGTCCAAGCCCCCAAGGTCTAGAACAGGCTCTCATCAGAGGTGGTTCAAGCACCTACACTGAACACCTTCAAGAGAAAATTGGATGCTTATCTTGCTGGGATCCTATGACCCCAGCTGACTTCCTGCCCTTTGGGCGGGGGGCTGGATTCAATGATCTTCTGAGGTCCCTTCCAGCCCTAATGTTTATGTCTATGAAAGTGGTGGCAAGGAGGAGACAGCCAGGAAAGAAACTGAAGCAGGAACCTGGTTGCTCAGGGGGAAAAGGAAAAGGCAGTGGGGATAAGACAGTGGCTAACAAACAGGGGGTTTGGAGGCAGAGAGGAGCTCAGGACAAGTGTTGGAGGTGGCAGAGAGCCAGAATCAGGAGAGGGAGAAATGAGACAAAAGTTAGAGGGGTGAGGAGAAGAGATTGGAGCAGGGCCAAACCATAATAAAGCAAAACCCAACTTGGGGGTCCAAATAACAGATTTATTACACAGACAACACACTACACAGCCACATGGAGATATTGCTTCACACACACACACACACACGCACGCACACACGCGCACTCACAATGGCAGCAGGAGAAAGAAATTCAGTGGAAGGGCTGGAGTCCAGGTCTGGAAGAGAAGCAGAGTCCAAGTCCTTGGTTGAAGAGGGGGTGGGGGATGATAGCTACCTATCCAGGCTGGAAAGGGGTCCTTGTTCAGTAGGTGTTGTCCAGAGGGGGGTTGCTAGCAGGGCCTCTGGGTGGACAGGTGGTGTGGCATGGTGCTGGTGCAGATAGAGGGGGTGTCCCACTGGGTCCTTCTTCACTGCCACTTTTTATAGGTGCAGACTTTGTGTGACCCTAGTGACAGGAGGCATGCACAGGCAAGGGTCAGGGCCTGGCGTACTGAGCATGTGTGCTTCAGGCAGGGATGTGCAGTTTCAGATGTCTGTAATGGTGGGGTACAATGGTCAAGTTGCTGGTTCTGCAGGGTCTTTTGTTACCAGATTTGCCCATTACTTTGGGGTGTACTCATTTATTAGGGATAGTTTCTAGGGTCTTGGTGATTCTGTCAATGTGCTGCTTGTGTTACTATACGCAGCTGTATCTCTCCCTTCAGCAAGCGCTCACCCCCAATGGAGCTATCTTGCAGGACTCAGTCTCAATGGGGCTGGGTTCCTCCAGTCACCAAATCAGTCATACACGCACTCACAATGGCAGCAGGAGAAAGAAATTCAGTGGAAGGGCTGGAGTCCAGGTCTGGAAGAGAAGCAGAGTCCAAGTCCTTGGTTGAAGAGGGGGTGGGGGATGATAGCTACCTATCCAGGCTGGAAAGGGGTCCTTGTTCAGTAGGTGTTGTCCAGAGGGGGGTTGCTAGCAGGGCCTCTGGGTGGACAGGTGGTGTGGCATGGTGCTGGTGCAGATAGAGGGGGTGTCCCACTGGGTCCTTCTTCACTGCCACTTTTTATAGGTGCAGACTTTGTGTGACCCTAGTGACAGGAGGCATGCACAGGCAAGGGTCAGGGCCTGGCGTACTGAGCATGTGTGCTTCAGGCAGGGATGTGCAGTTTCAG